GATGAAGCAAGATGATGAAGAGCTTTGGTCCTCTTCCTCCTATGGTGTTTCGGCCAGCAAGAGCAAAGGGAGAGAGAGTGTTTTGCTGATGGTGAAGCTTCCTTGAGAAACTTAAGTGTTTGTGGCCCAAATTACTTCAAAAGTCAACTAGGAATAGTGCACGTACGCGCGCAATTCGTGCTCGTTTCCTCTCAGATTTGTTTCACTTGTACACTAAACCTCTAATGCACTTCCATTGATACTATTATTATTCACTCTTAATAGTCTAAAAATAAATGTCCAAAGTCTCTCAATTAATCGCGCGCGCGAAAACGCGTACTTTCGACTTGTGCGCGAGAATGTGCAATTTCTAAGAAATTCTCGTAACGATAGCATTACTAACTAATACTTGAGTACTTAAACATAAAATTATCTATTTTAAGACTAATGTATACGTTTTCAATCTTCAAGTTCAATGTACCCTCGAATCGATTATTACATCCAAACGCGTATTTACTATTCTCACTAACGAGTTTCCCAAAAATTAAATTTCGTAACAAGTCATTTTAAAAATATATATAAGTCATAGTTCCATGTAATTGGGTCCAAAAGGGTTGGAATAAAATATTTGGAGCAAACAAGCAATTAAATATTTAAATAAGTTAGTAATAAAATTTTAAAATAGGTAAATTTGCGTGTCCTCACACTATCTTTGTAGTTTTGAGCTTTGATTTTATCTATCAACTGCTCACAATTAGATTGGATCTCTATCTTTCTTTATTTTGATTCCCTTCCAATTTGCAAGGCAATTCGGACTGCCAGTACTTCCTTAATCAATGGATCTCCTTTTTCTCTTCTTCTATTGTCTAAGCTTTGATTATTTCCCCTTTGCAACTCCTTGCAACTATTTCTTTGCCTGTTCTAGCCATCTATGTTGAGATTGCAGTATCAGTGTTAATTCTATAAATTCGTTCAATTGGTGGCTGCCATTTTGTATTTAGTTGAGCTTGAGTTGCTTTAACAATGCACTCCCTCTTTGATTCTTCCTCAACTTTCTTGAACTCTAACCAATCCATCTGTGCTTTCTGTGTACAAAGCAATTCATCTGTTTTTTCTTCATTGAACTTGACCTTGTTTCTAGATTTTTAGATTTGCCAGAAAATATTTGCTATTAGTTCCATACGGTCTTCTCTATTTGGTCCATCTCTTGCTTCTATTATTCCTTCCCACCACCTCCAGAAGTTACACTAAAGATTAGTAAGTCCTTCTCGATTTACTGGAGATAGTTTCCACACTCTCTTTACAAATTTGCACTGAAAGAACAAATGCTCCCAGGTTTCTACTCCTTCTCCACAAGTGCTGCAATGCTTATCATTTTTTCCTATGTTGTGTAAGTGTTGTTATAGCTTGTTGTACACTGCACAATTTTCTTAGACTAAACCAATTGAGTGACTCTCACTTTCAATTCTACAAGTAAGAGAATATTGACTTGGAGGCTGAAGACGTAGGTGTCCCAAGGCCAAATATTTAGCCATTAAATACAGTCTGACCTAAGGTTGCGACATAAAAGACATTGCAAGACTTAATTATAAATGAAATGTGTGGAACACATCATAAGAGAAGGCGCTAGCAAGTTGGTAGCAGTTGTCGTACTATTCAACCCATGTTGCAGCTTGCAGCATTTGTTTTGCTATTGTGGTTTTTAAATGGGATGTGATATGTGCTGAAAAACTTCTATTTAGTAGAAATAATTGCCATCTGTATTTGTATATGAATAGAGTGCCATGTATGTCATCTAACTTTATCGATGGTTTAACATGATTTTTCCGATTGTATTTTTGTTTCATACCATTTGTCCTAGAATGCATAGTAGTAATCCTGCCATGAAAGTACTAATCAACTTGGTTATGCATCCCAAAAGTCAACAAGAAACTAAATCATTTGTGCTGTCTAAACAACTATTTGGAATAATTTGCCACTATCCAAATGATTATTTAGTATTTTAGCATTGCACATATGTCAACAAACAATCATCGTAAATAATGCACTGTCCAAACACACTTCTGGTGTTAGTTCTTTTATCCTGATTGATCCTATTACTGTTATCCAAGTCTTCCTTTCCTATTATGAGCAAGTTTTTATTAGCATTTGTGATTAATTTTATGTTTGTTGCTTCCTTTTCTGTGTTGATTTTCACACCTCTTATCTTACTTCTGAGGCGGGATACCATGATATTTCCAACTCTCATCCAAGCCCCAATTTGGTCTTCTCTTTGATTATGTTCATGACTCTCCATTTTACTGTTCTTGTCCCCATGACTTATAATTCCACACTTGAATCAAAAGTCAGGGCACTTTTCATATTTGAACTCAACTCAATGTTATGTGTCGTTTAGCCTCATTGTAGTTCCCCTTATCAATGATTTTGAGATGTCAATTTTTGTCAAAATTTTCATATGTCTTCCTTGCTTTCCTCCTCGTGGGAAAATGATCACTTCCCTTTCTAACCTCTCCTAGCTTGTAGCCTACTGCTTTACTCAACCAATGTATGGGTAAGTTCTAGATCTTTTTTTCGTCTTTTGGTTTGTTACTGATCCTTCGTTCATATGTAAGGCTTATATTGGCTTTTCACACTATTTTTTTAAATGATCGGGACTAACAACCATTAGTTTGCTAATGGAAAGGGCTTGTATGCTATAAAAATGTGAAATTCAAGGGATGTGATTGTTATATTCCAAAGGTCAAGGGATCTATTGGTAATTTAATCAAAATATAGGGGAGATAAATGTGAGTGATTCAGAAGCAAGTTCTCAAAAAAACATTCCAAAATATATCAACAAAGGTTTTTATAATATACAGCTACAATAACTTGTTTAAAAACACTTCTAAATTCGTAACTAGGGGTGTCAATCAAGTCGGGTTGCAGGTTGGTAGGTCGGATTGAGATCCAAGTATCCTGAATAACACGTTAACCCGAACACAACCCAAAAAATTAAATGAGTCAACTTTTTGGATCTAAACTCGACATGCTAATTTTGCATATTACCCAAACTCGATCTAAATAAGTTGTTTGTTTAACTTTTTTTTTTTGGCCTTGTGACCTTGGTAGTATAGTGGGCTTTTTTATAATGGAGTTTCCATAAGAATATAGAAAATTGCAGCCTAATTCTAGATTTCGTATATGGTGCCTGTAGTAATTTTTTGTTTTCTTTTTTGTACAAAAAAATCATGAACAAAAATAAAATTACGACACTTTCATAAATAAAATATCTAGTTTTTGGTAATATTCATGATTCCGTTTTCGTTATACTAATTTATAGCATTGGTTACACTTTTTATTTATTTTATGCCTCTAATTTATATATTAAATTATAACCTTACATATTAAATGAGTCAATCCGTGTTTGACTTGATTTGGACCTGTTTGTTTAGTGGATTTTTCGGATCTTACTTGATTTTGACTCGAGTTTGTGAAGAGTAAATCTATACCTGCTAATTTGATGTTAAATTCAAGTCGTGTTAGAATTATCATCCCTTTAATCCAGCGTTTTGAAAATCGAACCGGATCGATCGGTTCGACCGGTTGAACTGCGAATCGGCCATGGCACCGGTCCAGTTCAATGCTAGGGTTGACTTTGCTAGAGAACCGGTCAAAAACCAATTGAACTGTGAAAACCGCCGAACCGGATTTGAACCGGTGGTTTTCGGTTTTCAAGTTTTTTTTTTTTTTTTGTTTTGTAAAAATGCAACTATGAAGATTCAAACGGTTTTGTAATAGAAAACCAATGTAGTAACAGTTGCACCATTACATCTTATTAGTTTTTTTTGATAACTTATTTATATAAAACAAATACTCATATTTTTTTTGTTCCATTTTTTTAACAAAATTTCATCTTCTCATGACTCTTTCTTTTTAATCTTCAACTCTCTCTCTCATTTTTTCTTTTGTCACTCCTTTTTTAATCAAATCTCTTTATTTTAAATTTATTGATGTTTTCTTCCATCTTTTAATTTTGTTTTTGTTCATTAAATTTTAAAAAAAAGTTAAAAAAGAATTATTTTTTAACCCAAATTATTTAATGCCACAACCACTCACTTTTATCTGATTTTTTGTTTCTTATCAAATTTACATTTCTATTTTCGATTCTCTTGATTTTCTTTGAACTCCAAACTTTTTTTTTTAAATTGCAATCTCTAAATTCCAAAACGTAAATTAAAATTTAAGTTCACAATGTCTAAATTCTCATAGACGTGAATTTTGTATAATTTTAAAATATTGTGATATTTTTAGATTGGATTTAAGATTTTTTGGATAAATATAATTGAAATTGAGATGAAATTTATTTGTTTTAACTTATAATTTAAATTTTTTATTTTTAAAAATCCAAGTTATTCGAAAATAGTAAACTTTTCATCATATAAAGTATTAAATTATTCATTATATGTCTGATTTTATGTATATATATATATTTATATAAATTATTTTTTAAAAATTCATTGAATCGGAGTTGAACCGATCCGATCGATTGAATCTCGACCCTTTCACTTCACCGATTCAATTAACGGTCCGATTTTTAAAACATTGCTTTAATCATAATGCACTTGGGCTCCTGCAGAAAATGAATAAGCTCAGTCGCACACAAGCAGTCAGGGCCACAGTAATATGGTGCACCTGAATCATACACTAACTATCCTGTCTTCTCTTGTCCCAACAGCTCTCGTCAAATTTCCTATATCGTCATCTCATCAAATTTTTCTATCTAGGGTTTTCTATTCCTCACCTCTCTCAAAATTTCCCCAATTTCCTCACGATAAAAGTTCTCTTTGTGGTCGAAAAACTACTAGGTTTCCCTCCGATTCAGCTTATCAATTCGTGTTCGATTTCGGAGAGTTCGCATAATTGATTAAGTCCTTTGAATTGGGCGGTGAAGAACGCAATTTTTGCTCCAACTCGGAGAAGTTGCATCGTCAATTGAATGCCTGAATTGGAAGGGTTTCAGCGTAAGATTTTGGAAAAAGTTTTCCTTTTTTTCTTTTTCCCCATCCCTACATGCCCCTTAATTCTCAGAAATCTAGGGTTTTGTCATCGTTTATATGTCCTGTTTAAAGTTGTACGTTCTGTCAAAGCCCGTGATTGAAAGCTGTGGAGTTGGACATCGGGTTGCTTATTCCGTTGTATTTCATTCTTTTTAAGGAGTAAAATGCTAAACACATTCCTAGCTCCTGGTTTATATTGGGAACAAATGCTGAACAAACTTGATGCTAGAATTTGATAACTGGAAATCTAGATAAAGTTCTTAGGCTAATCATAAGGATTGAGTTATCCTCCCTAACATCCTAGGCTTTGAAGAAACTCCTGCACAATGAAGATGACATTATTATCTGGTTAGTATTATAAATGTGGATTTAGTCCTTTGTATGGAAATGATGTCAAAGTTGATTTTATAATCGGGTTTGATTTTTTAGTTCTGTTGCATGGATGATGTTGGGTGCGTTCCAAAGCAAGGATTTTGTAGACTTGGTTTCAGGCTGTGCATATTGGACCTTAGTAATTGATTTCAGTTATTTACTTTTTGTTGATGAACTTTGATCTTATCTGAAGACTGTTATCGGCTTAGAATCTTATAAATTTAGAAACCGGAGTTGCCAAGTGATTGTCAGAGTGTCTTTGTTCTTACATGTTACAAATTTGTGAGCTATTGAATGCTGTTGTTGAGAATGTTAGGACATTTAAAAGAAGATGGTGTTATTTCTCTCCTGTTTGATGCTTTGCCCTTCAAGATCTTTTGTTTGTGCTTTAGAGGTTTTGAAGGGGGATTTCCTAGAAGGAGTTTGATATTGAGAGTCCAATTAAAGGAAAAGGCCAAGTCATGAAGATTGTTTCTGGGTTCCTTTCGGCGTGACTATATCTGTTTGTGCATCAATTACAGGAAAAGATTTCAGTCACCTTGCTCCTGATACTTCTGAAAGATCGTCAAGAGCTTTGCAGGGGTAACGTTCACGGGTCTTGGGAGAAATGGATCATGGTCGCTATGGTCTTCATCAAGGATGGGAAAATAACAGCGTAATTGTGGTTTCCTTCTTAATCACATATATGGGATGATAAACAGAAATTATGCTCATGTGATTGTCCATTTTTTCCGGCATCTCATCCTTAAAGAACAATTAGAGAAAGCCTTGGACAATGAGGATATGGAATGGATTTGCCCGCCTTGTAAAATGATTGTTTGCTGATGTAACTTATTCTCTTGAATTTACAGGCTTTGGAGGGTTATGGTCCAGTAAATGAGCCAAACTTTAGGTGAGTTTTGACTGATGTTCTTCATGTGGACACTCATGTAGCTTTTTATGGCTGTTATTAGATTATTGCAATATGTTGCTTCATGCGTGTTGGTTAACCCTTTCCATAGGTGTTACATTTAAAAAATTCCTTTTGTTGGTCTTTTAATGCTTGTGCCTTCATGTAGCTACATAAACTGTTTTGATGCTTTTATACATCTTCCTTTCTTCCATTTGCCATTGCCTCATGTAACGTTGGCAGGGTTGGTGGTTCTTATGATGAGAGGAGGTTTGTAGATGAAAGATTTTCAAGGGACAGTGTTTATTCAAGGAGTGCCTTCCACCGGGATGTATTGGAAAGGGAGAACTATCCACCACCGTCTGTTGGTCTCTGGCATCAAACAAGGAAGAGAGCCTATGAAGATGAGTATCCCCTTGAGAGGGATTCTAGGAGGCATGAAAAGGCATATGCTGATCCATACGATATGGATTCTCGTAACACTGACCACTACCATGATCATGGGTTTGACAGGCCTTCTCGGTACGGTGGACGTGATCGTGATGATTACATGTATGATGATTATGATTACAGAGCTCTTGTTCCCCACCAAAGCAGGGAAAATAGCCGAGAGCGAGATTATGATTATGGTAGGCACAGTTATGATTCTGATTATGAGCGAGGAAGTAGGAGAGATGGTAATTGGCGAAGGCACAATTCCCGTGACCGTGAGCGTGATAAAAGAGATTTGAGTCGTGAAAGGGATCAGAGTCCATACAAGAAGCATGAGCGTTCTCGCTCTAGGTCTCATGGTCGGGATGATCGGCCAAGGTCACGATCTCCTCGGGGTCGAAGTCATGGTCGAAGTCATAGGGAGGAGAGTTATGATGATAGTCGATATGAGAGAAGTGAGAGGCGGAGGGATCGTGATGATAAACACCACTATTCTGTGGTATGCATAGATTTGTCAATTCTCCTTTCTTTCAGTAGCATTCCAGTTCTCTTTGGTCTGTCATTTAGCATCTATCATTTTGTTCTGTAGGCTCCATCAGCTACTGTAGTTGTCAAGGGTCTCTCTCAGAAGACAACGGAGGAAGATTTGTACCAGATTCTTGTACTATATTCTTACCTTGACATCGAGTGTTTATTATTGTTTCTTGGAATGGTAAAATTTGTGCCAGGCATCTATTTATTGTTTTACTGATATGTTAGGCTGAATGGGGACCTCTTCGCCATGTCCGTGTGATCAAAGAACGAAATTCTGGCATCTCTCGTGGATTTGCTTTTATAGACTTCCCTGCTGTGGTACTGGTTTCATACCTTATTATATACATCTAGTGTTGTACTTTTTGAAAGAAAAATGGAAGCTTATTGTTGTCAAATAGGGTGCTGCACAAGCGATGATGGACAAGCTTGGAGATGATGGCCTTGTTGTGGATGGTAGAAAGCTTTTCTTTGAGTACAGGTAAATATCTACTGTATTTTTGTTTTTTGCCATATAAATTGTTGGATGTGTACTGTCTTCTACTTGATGCTAGAGTTTGATTATTACTGACTTGTTAGTGTTTCTATTGAGGGAGAAAATTAATTAATCTGAACCGAGAGGATAATGTTCTGATTTGTATGCTGCATTTGATGAATTCTTGAATGTAAAACTAGCAGTGATATATTTTATCAGTCCTCTTTTACCTATGCAGTTCATAGAGTTTGATAGAAGTACAATATGTTTGAAATTTAACACACTTTTTGTTGCATTTGCTTTGCACAACGTGGACTTCAAATTTTACTTTTTGGAATTTGGCCCCGTTTGGCAAATGAATTTTTTGGGTGTTTGCGTAAAACTTTAGTGTAACTTACTGTAGAATTTGTAGAAAAAATTTTAAGATGAAAAACTTTTTTTCTTTTCTTTTTCTTTCTTTCTTTTTCTTTTTTCTTTCTTTCTTTTTCCTTTTCTTTACCTCCTCTATTCTTCTTCTCCCTTCCTCCTCCCCCTCTCCCTACCCCACCAGAACCTCAAGCAGCAGCAACATTTCTTTTTTTTTTTTTGCTTTTTTCTCTCTCCCTCTCCCTCTCCCTCCCTTCTCCCCGTCTCCCTCCCCAACCACCCTCCTCCCCCCCAGGGGCGCGATCTGGTTGCGCAACCAGATCGAGCAGAGGGGGAGGGGGAGGGTGGCGGGGGGGGAGAGGGAGAAGAGAAAAAAAAAGAGGTGGCTGCTGGCGCCAGCTGGTCTTGTCCGGTGGCGGAGGTGGTGGTGGGTTGAGGTGGGGGAAGGAGGAGGAGGAGGAAGGGAAATTTTTGTGTGTGTTTTTTGGGTATTTTGAAGTGTGTAGTTTAAAAATTTTGAGGAGTTTTTTGAGGTTACTGTAACTAAAGTTGTTAAAAAACTTGGCCAAAAATTCCTTTGCCAAACAGGGCCTTGATTCATGAAAGAAATGTAAGTTTATATATTCAAGAGCTTTACATGTATTGTCCCACGCTTCTTACGCATTTGTCCTTAGGCTGTTGAAATGTTTCCTTTGTCATATTTTTAGCTTCTTTATTGTGTATATTGGCCATTGAACACCAATGAGGGGACACAAATCTGTTCTTTATTCATTTGAATATTATAGTGAAGTGCCATGATGATGTTTTTGTGTCTGCATTTTCCCCCCCTTGATTTCTTTCTTGCCAATGTAGTCTTCCAAAAATTGTGAATTTCGGTGTCTTTATGTGCAGTAGTAAACCAACAGGGGGATCAAGTGGTCCTCTTGGATTTGAAAATTCATCAAGGTCAGGTCATGGTAACTACCGGAGTGTAACAATACCATCTGACTGGATGTGCACCATCTGTGGCTGTGTCAATTTTGCACGCCGAACATCCTGCTTTCAGGTACGTTGTCTCCGGGGCGGCATGTTTTGTGGTTTTGACTTTGCCCGGTTTATGTTGTTGAAGTGCTTTATCTCAAGTTTCTTTCCAACTAGTGATTGGTAGTTATGATAAATGGTGAATTTGTCTGCACCTGTTGTGGCATCTGAATGGAAGTGTCATTAGTAGATGTGAAGTGTATTGGCATTAAATACTGATGTCCTTTTCTAAATGTATTTGTGATGTTTGGTTAAGAAATTGGAACTGCTTTCTGTTCCAAAGTAACAGGAGTTGTTTCGGTTACGTTGGAATATTTACTGGTACTGAATTATTCTTTGGTCAAATGTTTCCTACTGGTGGTGGCAGTGTAATGAACCAAGAACAGATGATGCACCCCCAGCTGATATGGCATCATCAAATCCCACTCCTCTTGGCAAAAGAGGTGAAGCAGGTTAGTGTTACCTGTTGAATTAACATCAATTATTTCCATTTCAAAAGCGGTCTAAGTTGATGTGTTGGCAGGCCCTACCCATGTTTTGGTTGTCCGGGGATTGGATGAAAATGCTGATGAGGAAATGCTTCGTTATGAATTTTCAAAGCATGCTCCTATAAAGGTCATTCTTTTGTAAACTGCTGTGAGCTTACTGTTAACGTTAATTTCTTGTCTTCTTTTTTTCTCTCTCCCTGCCTCAGCTTAGAATGTGGGTTGATTTTGTAATGCAGGATCTCCGACTTGTGAGGGACAAATTTACACATGTTTCTAGGGGATTTGCTTTTGTGCATTTTTATTCTGTAAGTTTCCTTCTGTTTATTCAGTACAACTTAGACCACCTAAGGAATTTCTTTTGTAGATTTTTCGCGTGATTTTGAAGTAAATTGTATTGAATAGTTGGGGGGAATGGGGAGAACTTGCAATCAAGAACAACTTATTCTTAAAATATTCCAGCAAGTGAGCAAACTTCTCTGCTTCGGTTTGGCCTCCTTATTCTCCATGAAGGCAAAGAAGCAAAATTATAATATCTTCTTGTGTATTAGATTCAGAATTGGATCTGCAAAAGGCTAATGAAGTGTGTTAGGCACAATTATTATTAAGTTATATCGGATCAGTTTCACATATTACAGGCTAGATAATTGTTGTTTTTATGGACCTTTGACACTACAAGAGCAGCAGATTTTGATCTTTTCCCTTTTGAAACATGGACAACGATCACTGGGTATAGGAAGTAAAGAGAAGAAAAGGCCCAACTAATTTTGCTGAAAAGAAGGGGGCTGAATTGTTCATTTAGTTTTTCAACTTTTTTTTTTTTGCCTCTTTGAGGCAGAGGTTGCTCATTATTATAGGCAATGAAGTCTTTATTGTTGCATGTTAGTCCCCTATGAGTCTTCTGCATCTTGTTCCTTTCCCCACGAGGGAATACAAAAAGTCTCCCACACCTGAGTAATTTTACCCATATGTGTAGATTTTTTGGATCATCTTTGTTTTCATTGAAAATTACAGTGTCTGGGAATAAATGGGCAGTGATAATGTTTTTCATTAAAGGGGAATATTGATGATGTCATGGCTGTGGTATTTACTATTCTAAGTTCTTGCCTTCAGGTTGAGGATGCTACCAAGGCCCTTGAGGCAACAAACGGTACTACTCTAGAGAAGAATGGGCAAATTCTTCGAGTTGCATATGCCAAAAGTATTCTAGGACCTGGATCAGGTGCATCTGGTACTTCTCAATCCAGTAGTCTTGCTGCTGCTGCAATTGAAGCAGCAACTTTTGCCCAACAGGTGTGTCTTCCTGTCATATGTTGTATATTTCACGTGCTATTAGAAGTAGAGACTGTCTTTCATATAATATTGAATAGCTAAGAATTGGTTTATCTATTTTATCCAAGAATTGTTTTTTCTTGACCACTGGAAGGTCGGCCACAAATTTTTGTTTATTGTCTCCATGTCTGTAGAGCCAGAATGTTTGGCATGCATGTGTGTATTAGGCATGAAAATTTGTAGCTAGGTATAAGTTTGATACTTGAAGCATATATTATTAGTCTGCTTATGTGTGCTCCATTGCATTTTCAGTATGATGCGGTTGGATGGGCCCCAAAAGAATACAATCCTGATGATAAACAATCTGCTGGTGGTGGTGGGCAAGAGCAAGATGGTGGAGTTGCAGGTCAAACTAATGCACCAGCACCGCAATCTGGTTTCGTGTGGGATGAAGCTTCTGGTTACTATTATGATGCTGCCTCTGGATTCTATTATGATGGGAATTCGGGTATGCCTGTTTTACCTTAATTTGGGTGTGCCAATTTATTTTGTGTTTTTGTTTGTCCTTTTCTTGGTTGATATTAACTCAATTACCTGACTTTAGGTATCTGAGATTTTAGTGGCTTTGCTCTAATTCTTGTGATTGTGCACACAGAAAACTCTTGTTGTTTGTTGTTGCCACCTTAATGTTTGTAATATTTGAACTTGCAGGACTGTACTATGATGGTAATAATGGGATCTGGTATTCATACGATAATCAGACTCAGCAATATGTACCTTGTAATAATCAGAATGATTCAACAGCTGAAAAGCAAAGCGAAGCTTCCAAGACCTCTGAGGGTTCAAGTAATAGAAAAGTAGTAATATCTGCACCAGCAGCCACGATAACAGCAAATGAGAAGGCTGCTTCTCTTCCTGATGCTATCCAGGCTGCTGCCAGTGCTGCAATAGCTGCAGAGAAGAAAGAGAAAGAGAAATCTAAAGAAATAAGGCTTGCTTCAAAGAGCAGTATACTGGCTAACAAGAAGAAGATGAATAATGTGCTGACAATGTGGAAACAAAGGAGTAACGAAGGTCAAGCTCCACGTGTGGCTCTCGATGAGAACCTGCCTTCTGCATTATCAGAAGATAGAGCAGGCTCTGTTGGGTCATCTGCAAAGAATAGATTCAAAGCTGAGCCTGTTATTACCAAGGAGAATGCTACAACCACTTCAGGATTTGCCGTAAACTCTGGAATTCAAACTGATGGGGAATCTGAGGGTAGGCCGCGGTCTGTCAGCAGCAGCTCTGGTGGAACCCTAAAAGGGGTGATTAGGGGCTCTGGGATGGGTGTTATCAAGTCTGATACTCTGTATACAGGATCTTCAGGGACTTCTTTGACGCCTTTGCAAGCTGTTGCATCTACTGCAGTTTCATCTCAATTAACAAACATAGATGCTTCTTCGACTCCAACACCCTTTAGAACAGATGCATCAGCATTGGGTTCTTATGCATCAGCGGTCCCTGCTGTAAGTGGTAAAAGAAGGTTCTCGGAGATGCCACAACAAACTCCTCTTCTGAATAAGGAACAGACTACATATAGGGATCGTGCGGCTGAGCGCAGGAGCTTGTATGGTTCATCTTCTTCACTTGGAGAAGATCTTTCACAACTTGGGGCTGGGGATTCGAGTAAGCTCACTTTTGAATGTTGATGCATCTTTTGTAATATAAGTACTCAAATTTTCCTATGCCTATAGTATAAAATCATACCAGATTTGTTTTTTTTTTTGGGTGGTTTAGGGTGTTTATAGTGTTGTATTATTGCTGGTTGATTTAAGATGGGATTTAGTTATACTATTGGTGGATTCAATTGAAATATTCTGCTCCTACCGTCTCATCTAATTTAGAAAGACAACCGAAAAAAGGGTAAAGATTCCAGTGGTCGATTGCTGAATTATCTCTTTGGATCTCTATTGACATGTGAGATATCTATGTTCTTGTTTGCTGTTCGGATTTTCAAGATCGAGACTCAACGCTAAGAAGGGGTGCTTTAGATTCAATGCCATTTCCCCCTGGTGTTGGGGGCGGACGTGGTGCAACAGATGGTAGTAGTCAGAGTTATGATGTGATAACAGCTGACAGGGCACTTGATGAGAACAATGTTGGGAACCGTATGCTTCGCAGCATGGGCTGGAATGAAGGCTCGGTACAATTTCTGACTTTTCACTCATGGATTAATCATAAACCTCATTTTCATTTTTATTGAAGTTGAAAACAACTGTGTAGCCAAAACAGATTTAGCTCAATGTTTCTGACCTTATTCTCTCTGCTGAGTCGCTAGATTTAATGCTTAGCAGTCCATTGGCATGCCAGCTCATTTTTTGTAGTACTAAATCTGAGATGTACAACGTTTGATCTCTGCGGACCTAGTGGCAGGTTGGCTATTTACCTGTGTTCAGGGATCTGACTTAAAGCTGGGGACTCTGTTTGGTTTCTATTTTGTTGATCTACTTGGCAGGGTCTCGGAAGGGATGGGAGTGGCATGGTGGAGCCTGTTCAAACACAAGCGATGGATGGTAGAGCAGGACTTGGAAGTCAGCCTAAGAAGGTCGATCCAAGCCTTGAAGTGCAGGCTGGAGATAGCTACAAAACTCTGATTCAAAAGAAGGCAATTGCTAGGTTCCGCGAGATGTCTTATCGACAAGGGAATTAAGGTTCAGAAGCTCGTGAGTCTTGGAATCGACAGGAAGAGAACTGGTTGTATTGCTTTAGGTTGTGGCATCACCATACTGGTGATTTTTTGCCTTGCCCAATTGTAATGATTTACACTATAGTTGCAGCACTGTTCATTAGGAACAACAGATCTTTTGCATAAAATTATAATCATAACTCTTTTTTAACGTGACTGCTGATATCTGATATACGTTAGTGCTGGAGCAGGCAGCATGCTTCCATTTTTCCATATTTGATTGTTGCTATTCAAGATAATTGAAGTGTCTGTTGTGGTCTGCCTACTTTGGCTTCATTGATTGCATCAGTATATGCGTAGGTGCTTAAAAGGTTAAGCTAGCCGTTTGGTGTTTCAAAGCCATTATTCTCTATGTTCGTAGTTCATTCTTTTCTTCTACCTCAGGTTGTATTAGGAATGTAGGTGGTCAACTTCCAAGGGCACCTGATTTCAGTTTTTCAACTTGCTTGCAGAATTTCTTGCAGGCAGATGCAAGACTAATAGGCTAAATTTCTGAAGATGTCAATTACGGTATAGATAGATACCCTCTGGAGAGTGTCTTCGTACACAATTTAATTCTTAGAAGGTTCAATAGAGTATAGGGATAATTTCAGAAACCTCCCTTGAGGTTTCTAACAATTTCACCAAGTCCTCTTGTGATTTGAAAAATTACACATTTCTCTCTTGAGTTTACCATTTTAGTAACATAAATTATTTAATGGTCAAAATTTTGAATGAATAACCTAGAATGTCCTTATGAAAGTGTGAAGTTTATTTTACCTTTTTATAAAATTATTTAAAAAATATGGAACATGCACAAAATTTCAAATTCACTTTCAATAATAATCTCTATTATTTTAAATCTTTTATATTATCATATTTCAAATTAATACCATTATCACCATGATCACTATCACCATCAATCTCTGAATTTTAAAACCTCAATTGAAGTTTAAAAAAATCACATTGAACTCAAAAAATTTCAATAACTCCGTTAATATAAGAACCTATCCCTCGAATGTTGGAGTATCAATTCCGGCACTATCCTTATTAACCCTTCAATTTACATCTTCTTTTATTCATCTCTAGATCCTCCAATCAAAACTAAAATTAATTTGCAATATGTTAAAATTGTATTTAGGACATAATTGGTTATTTTACGAGTAAATTTTATTTTTGTTTCCATTAAATGTCAAATTATGTGATGCATTCATATGAACAAGATTAGGAGCGAGTTGTTTTATTACATGAAAAACATTAATATGTTAAGGCCATTATGGTCATTTTGTAGGGCCAAGAAAAGTAAGTGCAATATTGAAAACTTCAAGGGTACTAGGTGAAATTGTTAGAAACTTCGATGGAGGTTTCTAAAATTGTCCCTAAAGTGTAATCACACTCATTACAAACTTGGCCGTAAGATTCTCTTACTATGGGCTAAAAGATATCTAAATTGACATCAAGACGAAGTTCTTTGAGTTCAAACACTTTTGATCCTTTCAGTTTGTTTATTTTATGATTAACAAATTTTAGATGCTTGAATTCAGTTTTTCTAGTTTTACAGTCTTGCAAAATTTAGAAATTGAATAAATGCATAAATAAAAATTAATTGAAAATAAAGTTGAGTGGAACATTTGAACGTTTGTCACATGCCTTTGGTTTTTCTTCTGCTGGTAAATCTGAATAGGGATATATTCATGGGTAATAGATACCTTACTTAAACCATTGACACTAACACATCTGAAAGAGAGATTGTTTACAGTTTTCAGTTTTTAGGGAGGTTGCTTTTAAAGATTTTGATGCAGTATGCTTTTCTAATGCCTTAATTTTATTTTTTTTTTTGGAGATTTTTATCTTATAAGCACATGGTGATTATTTTCTTAGATTTAGGTCTTTAGGAAATGGAGTTTGTATACAAATTATAAATATGTGCTTAACTGAATCATAGCATGTCGAATTCCACATGAAGAATTTTAATAACAAACTTTACACAAACTTGGGCAACACCAATCCTTAATGATTTATTTATGATGGTGAAAGTGGAGTTCAAAATTTGTGGACTAGACATTAATTTTTGTGATAATGATAATTTTGGAATTTTTTTGGGTGTATATATGAATTCTAGCTTTTGGTCCTGGTTGATTATAAGAAACTCTCCAAAAAAAAAAAGAAGAAGAAGATGGATTTTGCAACAGATATTGAACATATAGTTCTCGTTGGACATTAAAAACTTATAATTTGTATCTTATAAGGGCATGGTGAATTCAATTCTGAAATTTAACTATTAAAAATTTGGTTACGTATCTGCAAATTCGAAGCTTAATCTGATCAATCTTCGTTTAGGCCATTTTGTTAGCTAAAAAAAAGTTGTGTATATATTTCAGCATAAACGTTAGAATATAAAACATTAAAATGAGAAAAAAATTCTCTTCTTAGAGCATATAAAACATTAATTTCTTGCTGACACAAAAACTTACATGTTTTGCCGAGTACTAAGGATTTAATTAATAAGCAGATCAATAATTGAAGATGCTAAGAATAAAATAGATGAGGAGAAAAAAGGATGACTGTTTCTGTATTTAAAAATTGGTTTGGGCAATTTAAATTACCGAACTTTAGAAATGTAAGAACTGATATTGAACATAACTCATGTACAAAAAATGTATGCAAGTCACTAAACTGTTCTTTTAGTTTGTGATGCACAACTCAAGCAAGCAATCAAGTCAAAAACTGAAATTTGGTAATCCTTTTCTAGCCTAGCTACGAATCAATTCAAAATTGAAGAAAACGAATTAAGGCAAGAAGTTTTAGGTGTAACTAAGGCCTTGTTTGGTACGAGTTTTTTGAGTATTTGTCCAAAACTTTTTATTGTAACTTACTGTAGAATTTGTATAAAAACTTTTTGAAGTATGTAAAAGTTTTTCTTTACGAAAAAAAAAATTTTCTTTTTCTCTCTTTCTTTTTTGTTTCTTTTCCTCTTTCTCTCCTTTCCTCTTCTTCTCTCCCACCCCAATGCAATCTTCTTCTCCCCCTCCTCACTGATCAGCTGCCGTCACTGACACTTTTGTCGACGATCGGTGACAGAAACTTTTTTGTTTTCTCTCTCTCTCTCTCTCTCCCCCCTTCTTTCTCTCCCGTATTCCACTATAATTTTCTTCTCCCTCCCTCCCCACTAACCAATCGCCGGCAGGAGAAACATTTTTTTCTTCTCCCTCCCCGGCCACCCTACCCCTCCCCAAGCACAACCAGATCTAGTTGTGCTGGGGGAGAGAGAAGGGAAGGGTGGCTAAGCAAGAGAGGGGGAGGAGATGGCGGGGGAGAGGGGAAGAGTAAGGAGGAGAAGAGAAGAGGTAAGGGTAGTAATAGGGTGGGGGGATGGGGCAGGGGACCTCTCCCCTAGCCCCCGCCCCGTTGCCTATTAATTTTCCCCACCCCACTTCCCCCGCGGGGGCACCCGTGGGGTTAAAAAAATTTTGTTATATAATTTCATTATAATTAAATTTTAGCAAATAATCAAGTACTAAAATATCAATATCACCAAATTGTTATTCATTGTAATTTCACAATTGAAACTCATAAAAATAATTAAATAAAAGTTATTTGAATACAATTATGATAAAACAAATATAACTAAAATAATCAATTTTTCACTTTTCATACAAATACAATCACTAAATTATTATTGCGTTTTTTTTTAGAAAAAAGTGTTATTGTATTAAGTGTAGTTAGGAATTTAATATAAATGTATTAATAAATTTAGTATAAATAATTAATAATTTTTATTAATAGACATGTATAATTAGTAGTATAATTGATAATATCAATTATATTACGTATACTAATATACATTAAATGATATATATAACTAATAATATCATTATTATAAATTTATAACTAATTAAATTAAATATTATATATAATTATGTACATATATATATATATATTGTAGACAATGAAATTTTAATTAATTTTTAAAATTATCATTGGTCTATAAATTATTTTTGGTGGCTTATTTCTATCCAATCGGATATTGCCATATGTCATGTACACTTGAAAATTTTGGTTATTAAATGGCCAATTATATTTCTCCACGTGTCAGTGGAGGCATTCCAAATCGATCCGAATTGCAGGGATATCTCCACCAACCAAATCATATCATGTCACATGTCTATTGGATAAATATCTAAATATTTATTTCTTACTAAAGAGATAATATTTGGAGTCGTTTAATCCATATATACTTCTTATATACTACAATAGGTTGTGCAATCAAATGGCGCCACGTCACGTGTCCCTACAAGCTTGGCCAATCAAGGAATTAGTTATTGGTATTATCTCTTTATTAGTAAATATAAAATGAAGAGATAATATTTAACTGGTACAGTCCTAATATGACTGCACGTATTGCAAGACAAGTAAAGTAGTACACAGGTCTTCAACCTCTACCTCTTGTTACAACTATAAATAGAGGTCTTTCGACCAAATCAAGGACACACACAGAGACATCGAGATGCATCTCATACACTCAAGTATTAAAGTTTCAAGCTACGAAGGTCTGGGTCTCCAAGCTCCTCAAGTCTTCCGCCTATCAAGACTTAAGCCTTCAAATATTTTCATGTTCTTCAAACCTTCCATATCAAGATTTGAAAGAATCGGTGGTTGATCCAAAAACAAGCTGCGAAACCCTTGGATTGGCGTTCGAGAAGAAGAATTGAAGGAAACTCTCTAAAAATTCGAGGAGATTCCAGAGATTGTACCCACATGATTTTCTAAATTTATATATTACATATTTGTCGTGTATTTCTTTTTCTTGTCCTTTTGCGGACTTGAAATTTTTATCGCGTACAAATTTTTGGCACACCCAGTGGGACCATCTCTACCTTCCATCTCTTCTCATCGAATATTCAACTACGTATATCACCAATGGCACCAAGGAGCAACAAAATCATGATTGCACGTTCCAAGGCTACTGATACTCAGCCTGTTCAGGAAGCTGCACATGTTGCCACCAATACCCGCGCTATTGGTCCTGTGACAAGGAGTATGACGAGAGCCTCCACCCAAAGTAGCATAAAAGCTCCATCGGCGCCAACTCTCGTCTTCGGTTTGACATCACCAATGAGCTATTCCTCCACGATGGGGATCCAAAACGTTCCTACCTCGATTGAGAAGGCGATTGCTATGTTCGAATTTGGATTCGAATCCAAGTTTTCTAAGCATGACGATGATTCATCAAG